CTGCTGACACAGCCGAGGTTCCACAACTCAGATTGGATTTGAGGGGTTATGGTACCCATATCCCACATTGGTGGCCAGGGCAGTTGGACCACAGATATATATATACATCTTTGTGATAGGATCCCTACCAGTAACCACAGAATGGTGCATTTTGAACCACTGGATTTATGAAAGAAAGAAAGCAACACCAAAGTGGACAATCCTTCTGATCAACCTGAAGAAGTCCAAAAGGCAACATCCCAGATCTGGATTGATGGGATCATATGCTATACTCCGCCAAAATCCAGAACTCATCCAGTCTGGATTTAAAAACAGTTGTCATTACTTCCCCGCTAAGTGGGCAAGGAGAATCCCACTTATCCACGAAATTATGGAGAGGATGTGGAACACTGTCCCACCAAGACCAAAGATGGGACCACGTCGTGTTTGGATTTACAAGGAGATAGTGGACCTCCTGGATGAACAGCACAAGACCTGACAGTGTTCATAACAGGGTCCAAGCACCCCCCTACCAGATAACTAAGCATCAAATCTGGACTGGTTTTACATGCAGGTTGGTCCTGCTCCTACCAACATCTAGGAAAAACTTCCAGGGACCCAGGTAGGAGGGTCCTCAACTTCTTCCTCTTCTCCGAGAGTGGAGAAAACTCAACACTCCGAAGAAAAATCTTCTGCCCACCACCCCAGGGACTGGGAACTAGGAGTGGTAAGGACTCCCGAGCTCCACTAGTAGAAGTAATGGGGGAAACATAAGATATCACCATCCAGAATTGTGTCCAGATGGTCTTATGGAACACCTCATCTTGACAGAGCACATTGCAACCAGGAACCAATATAAAGGAATTTAAATACAAACACACCCAACTGGGCAACACTCGCCACCGAGTGGAATCCAAAAGAAATCAATAGGGACCCTAGAAGAGAAAAGAACAATAATTATAAGTCAGATAACACACCTCCCTGTTAAAATCTAGTAGAGGTAGTCAACACAGCCAGATCATGAAGGTAATGAGATATGAACGTGTCTGCAGAAGTCCACATACCGGCCCACAAAATATCTTCTATAGAACAGTTCAACCGGGCAGCCAAAGACATCAACAGGTGTCAAATCTGGTGAGAGATGATATGGAGCATATTGAGATCATTAACAGATAAGCCTAAATAGCCAATATGGATCAACTTCCGAAGCCATCTGGTTAAAGTAACAGGTGATAAATCAATGGACACTGCAGGATCCTAATGAATAAAAAGTCTGTCGTATGGCCTCGAAATGGTTCCGTACGAGCCACATAACATCTGAGCACCCTGACAGGACATAACAAACGATCCAGGTCTGACCTACTGTAAAGATAAGAAATGTCAGGTAAATGAATAGGAGAAAAAGATTTGTTTCCTTCTCTGATAAAGCATGTAAAGCAACCCTCAAGTCCCAATTAGGCAAATGATGACTGATCAGATGAGTCCTCAAGAGAGGAAGCTCTAGTGAAAGAAGGAGCAGGAAACAGGGAGTCTAAATTCTCCCTGGAATATCCCGTTTCAGAATGAAAATTAAAATCAATGTGTCCTGGAGAAATACCGTGCCACACGAAGGACTCTGTCTCGCCCCGAATCAGGTCACGGACAGCTTCCAAGGAGAGTGGCTCCAACCCATGATTTAAAAAACACAAAGACAAAAGGTCCAATGGAAGACGGGGAAGAGCAAGGAAAAACATATAGAGGTGGGAATGAGTGAAGGATGGCAGTGAAGATTGGAAAAATATAAGGAATGAAACAACATGAATAAGACTGGCAACTGGAACACACAAGAAAAGTCAGTAAATCGAAAAGTGACAAATAACATCACCCTATAGCCCACAACAGAGGAAACCAAAAGTTCCCATTCAAAAAGCCAAGACAAAAAGGATGGTATGAGAGTAACCATAGGATGGGAAGGACAATAACCTCTAAGATCAGACCAAAAATGGTATGTGAATTATGTATATAGGTAAAGTACCATGGAGTAAGAAAATACAGGATGGAAAACAAAAGACGTTACACAGGAAAATCTGGCCCTTCAGGTGACAGACGTGAAAAAGCCACGTGTGCAGAGTGCAAGTACAGACAGATGACGCACTTTGGAATGAGGCTGACAGAAGAATGTTGGAGATAAAGGAAGAGAAAGGGAGGCAACACCAAAAACTGGTGCAGCAATGGAAATCATGTGTGAGCCAGCCAATACATAGCCACCAGCAGAACACTACATCAAGTAGTCTGAAGTATGGCAAGGACATGTGGAAGGAAATAAATAGGAGGATATGCATGTAGGTATCAACCCTACCAAACCCAAGTGAGAGCATTGACTGCTCCTGCCAGAGGATGAGGAACAAGAAATCAAAATTGGGAAAGTGATTATTAAGAAGAGTGACAAAAACATCCAAACCTGGGACACCCCACAGAGCACACAAAACCCAAAAAATGGGTAGATCTGAAAACCACTCAGCAGGGAGAATCATGTCGGGATGAGATTATTGAGAAGAGTAACAAAAGCATCCAAAACTGGGACACCCCACAGAGCACACAAAACCCAAAGAATGTGTAGATCTGAAGACCACTCAGCAGGGAGAATCATTTCAGGGTGGGATAACCGATCCACGACCAGATTCAGGGAATCTGGATTATGATATGCCAATGAAGTGATGGAGTGGCAGTGGGCTCTACATAGAAGATCCAATGTTTGCAAACAGAGGTTTCCCAACTAAGTACCCCTTGCCCGGTGAGAAACAAGACGACCATTCAAACATCAGTGTGAATCATTACCAACTGGCTCCAATGAGCCTGCAAGAAGTGAAGGAAATCCCAATGAACAGTAAAAAGTTCCAAGAGATTGATATGGAGAGAGAACACAGAAAGAGACCACCTCCTGAGTGTCAAGATATACCCCCCCCCTGCCCAACCAGAAAAAGAAGCATCCATAAAAGGTGACATTTGGGACGAGAAGGAACACCCGTGGTAGTGTTGTCTTGACCTAACCACCAGTCGGAGATGGCCTGTAAGGGAGAGGGAGGGGTAAGTGAGACATCTAAGGGATCCTAAATAAGGCTTTATTGGCCTATCAAAACCCACTGATGATGATGAATGAGGGGGCGACCAAGAGGACTGAAGACTTCAAGAGAAGCCCGTGGACTCAAAAGAGAGAGAACCTCTTACACATTAGGAGAAAAGAGAGGATGAGATTCCATACTGAAGTGGGGCAGATCAGGCCCAATGGAGTAGGGAGTTGATAAACACCCCAAGATGAACCAAAAATTGTGAGGGTGTGAGGCAAAACTGCTCCACTTTGACATGTCAACTCACCATGACAGCGTCCTGGAGATGAAACTGAGGATGGAGAATTGAGTTGTCTTGTGAGAAGGCAAGAAGCAACCTTACATCCATAGAATGGTGGAAATGAAGGCCTGTGGAATGAAGCAGGTGGGCAAAAAATAGGATTCCAAAGAGGAGGGAAGGAAACTGGATTGTGAGACATCAGGGGAGATGAATGGAAGTAGAGAACCAGACTTACTGAAACAACTATCAGAACCCATGCATCAACCATCAAGGACCTCCAAACATGGGCAAATTTAAGGAGTTTGCAACCTTCCACCTGCCCTGACCCAAGAAGAGTGGTCAGAGTAAGACAAATACAGGAAAAGGCAATCAAATTAACATGGTCCAATCCCCACTAAGAGAGAAGCTACACCAAATGCTGCTAGTCCAATTAAGGGAAGTTGGAAAAATTATAACCAAAAGCATGACCATCCACAGTATGTGGGGGTTGAGGCATACTGACTCCTGAATGCAAATGCTCCCCAAAACGACTTGCATGAACCCCAATATCTAGGGAAGGAGGAAACACTAAAATAATGACCCAAAGGCTAGTTCCCATGAAGGCCAGGGGTGAAACATAGGAAATGGGAGATATAGAATGAACATAACAAACCTGAATAATCAAATCCACCAAAGGAGAAAGAGGTTTAGGCAAGTCCCCAAAACGACATGCGACTGAGAAACATATTCAGGTGGGGGAAAAAGGCTGTTCAAATCCAAAACTTCCCAATCACTGAAAACTGTGAGAGAATAATCATCAATTTGTTTTGATTGTTGCATGAAATTGGTCAACTCCCAATGGACCAAAGACATCATTTTGTGGGCTGAGAATCATGGTTACAACCCATTGGACATGGCCGGTAATTCTGCTGCAGTAGTTTAGTCTTGACCACCTGAAACTGCAAATGCATAACTAAAAAAAAAGTGAAAAAGGAGAGAAGATAAATAAAATTATTCATAACTTTTCACAAAAGAATGAAAATGAACAATGTAATTAAAGTAGAAAAATTAAGAAAGTTAAAAACTTGTAGATAAGTGAATCAAACCACATCTATTAAAAAAAAACTGCCAATCGAGAAGTGGTTAACTGCTACAAGATTAGAGAGGGCACTAGTTTATGATGGAGGTTGCTGCAGAAATAAGTGGGAGTATTAAGGCTAGTAGGGAGCAAAAGTTTGCACCAATAGAGGGCAGTATAAGTCAAGTAAGCTTTTCGTGACAGGAGGTAATAATATATCATATCGGAATTTATGTGACTCTGGATATTAAAAGTCTATCAATACTCACCATATACAGGTATCTCAGCAGTATACTGTCGTCGACAAATGTTGTACAATGGGCAATGTGATGAGAAACAACAAATAACGACTACAGCAGCCAATGTCAAACAAATCAAACTTACACTCACTGCTATCACAATGGCTAGCCTGCAAAGAAAAAAAAACTGGATGCATTTACAGACATAATGATTAAAAGTAAAAAAGAGGTAATTACCTCTTTACACAAGGTACTAGTTTAAGAAAAGGTTCAGAGGAGGTTCAGTGATTCCAGGGATGGGTTATTTTATAGAGATATGTTGAGATCACTTATCTTCTCTTGAGAAAAATAAAAGGTAATATTATTGAAATTCAGAGGATTATCCATGGGAATGATAGGGAAAAGGCCTTTGTGCTGTATTGTAAAGATAACAATAAAAGGACAACAGTTTAAAGATTTGGAAAAGACAGGCTAAACTCCAGTTAAGACAGTTTTTATTTTTCTGATTAAGCAATTGGTTTATGGAATACCAATGGCAGTAGGGGAGACCAACGCTTTACAGGAGCAAGTGGGGGAATCAATGATTCCTGAAAATTAAAGGATTGGTTTAACTTTTTAGTTTTTTCCAAGAATGAGTACATAAGGACAGCCGTGAAAGAAAAAAATGGTCCCTCTTAGTCTGTATGTTATGTTAATTTCCTATTAGGGTGGCCAGCCTATGAAATAGTTTACCTTCGGTGTGGTAGAAGCTGTAATAGTGAAGGTTTTTGAAAATCTTATACTGTACATATTTTTTGATGGGGAGATTTGTTCATACTGGTTTTAGAATTTGTATCTCAGTTTCATAAGTTTGCTATAATAGGTATAATAGAAATAAATGTGTGAAATGTCCAAATAATATCTTTAAAGCAATGTTTCTAAGAACTACTGAAAAAAATTAACATTTTAACAAGACAAAAATTACTACTAACAGAAATATCTGTGAACAAAAGAATATACCCCGCATACAGATAAATCACAGAAATACTACATCACATTAATAGTACCAGACATAACTCTCATTACTTTTACTTTCACTTAACTATTTGCTGCTGAAGTAGCTACTCATAATGTCATATAGTTTTCTATCTGTGTTTTCATACTGAAATCCTGTTCTTACCAATTTTCAATCTCATAAAACTGTCTGGTTAAAGGACAACAAATTTTCTCAATACTGTCACAACATTCTGTGTAATATTCTGGGTCAGTAGACAATGGGCAACGATATAATGAAGGAAGATAATCTTCATTTTCCACAGAATTTCTCCTAACTGAGCTACTGATACTGTCAGTGATAGTGCTGTTGTTACTGTTAGGGCTATCAATCACTTTTGGGCAGTATTTTGAACAACTTCCTGCAAGATAAAGGAAATTTATACTCATTATTAAAATTTTCATTATATTGCATATTAACAAGCATGCTAAAGTAAATAATTCCAAAATTAAATATATACCAGCATAATACTAATACTAATGGTATTATCCATGTTCGTTTGCGATGACGTCATTTTGCTACTTTAACGATTCTATAGTATCACATTTACAGTTGCAGATGTACTTAAAGTTGGATGTGTATCACGCTGATCAATACATACAGCAAACTGTATATACATCAAGAGAATGCTTTCACTACAGTTCTTAAACTCCAGTAAACTTTTAAATTCTAGTACTTGTCAAGAAACTTAGAATTTATAAATTAGCAATGACATGAGATTGAGACTGAGTTACACAGTTCCAAGACGTTACGAGTCTATGATCAACTCTTATATTTACAACCATTAACTCACATTTTATTTACTAAAGCTTTGAATAAAACCTTATTTAAAAAAGTGATAATAATAAGTAACGCACCGTTTAAAAATGATAAAATAAACAATAAAACCAAAGCATTAAAAACGCAGCTTCGAAGAACTCCAACTTCAGCCATAACAATATATCTGAGTAGTTATATAACATACCGCAAGAGGTCTACCATTTAATCCAATCCAAAATATTGGCAGGTATTTTGGTTTTAAATCTCTCAGGCCTCGAAGAAAGCCTTGAAAGATAAACCAGGTACGGTCAGTAATTTTTGCTTCTCTTCGACCCACCCACGAAAATTTGGTTAAGTAACACAAGGTGATGAAGAATTATCGACTGAAATTATGTTATGAGGCGGGTGAATAATTCACAAGCGAGACTATTATAAGTTGTATTCTGGAGCGAAGTGACGACTCTAAGCTGTTATGAAGCGGGTGAATAATTCACAAGCGAGACTATTATAAGTTGTACTCTGGAGAGAAGTGACGACTCTAGGCTGTTATAAGGAGATCCGGAAACAGGGGTTTGTTGAAGATTGCTACTCGATTAACGATAAAGGTTTGTTTGTTTGTTTTGAATTTCGCGCAAAGCTACACGAGGGCGATCTGCGTAGTTGTTCCTAATTTAGCAGTGTAAAAGTAGAGGGAAGAAAGCTAGTCATCACCACTCACCGCCAACTCTTGGGGTACTCTTTTACAAACGAATAGTAGGATTGACCATAACTTTATAACTGAAAGGATGAGCATGTTTGGTGGGACGAGGATTCGAACCCGCGACCCTCAGATTAGGAGTCGAGTACCCTAACCACCTGGCCATGCCGGGCCTAACGGTAAAGGAAGTAGAGACCAAGGTTGTACCAAGGGTGACCAGGTCCAAGCAAACACACGTTCTGAAGTTGAAATGAAGAAAGTGTCTGTTGAACAAACTTGATTAAATGACTTTCAACAATTGGATCAAATTTGTATTTAGTCATTCAAATGAATTACATTACATTAAATTAATCGGTGGATTAATACTTTGATTTGAATTAGACAAAACCGAAAAACGTCCCTTTTCACGTGGGATCTAATCCAAGAACAATTTTGCTCTGAGGGGGGGGGGGGAGTTCACCGAAAAAATCCACTTACACGGCCCAAGCGCCACACACTATATATTACCGTCAGTACCGTTCGCTTGACTCAATTATTTATCTCTATATCTATCTATCTATGCCATTGCACTGGTTTTCCTGGACAGGCTTATATACTAAAAAAGAGGGTGCCTCGAACAAACTCGGGCCTCCCCAACAATTTATGATTCTTCGAGAAACTCCAGTGCGCATGCTCCCAGCATCACGCGACTTCCGCTGTCGTAACACTGCCCCTTCCTTAGTATTGTTCGTCCTAAACCAATAGATAATTAACAATAACTTAATTAAATGTACAGAATTTACAAACACAAAATTAAAATACAACAAAGTCTCTTAATTTTACAGGAAGTATCTTCTTCTGTACTGCTCTTCGTCTCATTAGATTCTGCTTTACGTGGGTTTCATCTGCTCCATCAGGAAATGTCCCATTATTAGTAGCAGTCACATCAGTGGTAATAACTTCATTAACGACTTCACTAATTTCTTTCTCAAAACCGGGTGGAGTTTCTTCTTCAACAGTGGCTTTTTCAGGTGACATGTCTTCAGCAGCATCATTTGTTCCATTGTTCCAACTGAAATGACCTAGACCGAGATAACTCCAAAGCCTGTTGGCATGCACCACCTTTGGTTTACCTCACCGACCACATTTTATTCTGAAAGTCACGTCTGTGAGACGACCCACTGTGTCATATGGGCCTTCCTATGGAGAAAACAACTTAAGAGACTTCTCTTTGGTCTTCCTGGGATTACACAACCACACCTTGTCACCTGGTACAAAGTTGACTTCAGTAGATCTCTTATCATAACATAGATTCATGGAATCAGCAGACGTTTTCAAGTTTGAACGCACTTGATGATGAATATCATCTATCCTTTCAGACAACATTTTCACGAACTCTGACACATATTCAGGCAACTCTTCATCAAGTGGCGCCCTGTTATCAGGTCCGCTGGCAACCAAAGTTCCCGACCAAACATCAGATTTGCTGGAGTGTATCCAGTGGCTTCATGCTCT